CCTACGAATACAACACACCCCCGCGCGACCTCATCGGTCCCAAAACGTAAGTCGTACAGGTGACCGCGCCGTGGTGGCCATTAAAATCCGGCGCTGGTCCAGGTCAACGGCACGCCGGAGCATAAAAGAAGCAAATAGAATTACGGCGCTAAAAAAGGAGTGTCTAGGAAACACCACCACCAGTCGAACGCCGAGGATGGCAAAACCAAAGGGGACAGCCCCGTCGGGTTCTCCACGCCACTCTGGTATCCCCGCATCGCTGCCGCTCGACCTCGGTCCCTGGACCTCCATAATGAAAGTCCGATAATGTAACCACTAACGCTAGGCCCAAGTCTGGGTTTAGTTCCGACGGACGCCTAAATGATCAGGCACCGCGAGGCGCGCGGCCTACTGAAAACACTTCAAAACCTCCTCGTCGTCGATGTCGTCCTCTGCACGTGCGCATGGGTCAGAGGCAAGCACATCGGTCAGCGAGACATAATCTTTTTAATCCTTGTTTAATCAGAAGAGAAATTCCGGTCAGCGATCACGCTGACTCTTCAGTCATCAACAAACAAGAAGATCATGCGCGCCTCAAAATCCGCGCGCCCACACACTCTCCATTCTAGTCGACCATCCAGCCGCCGTAAACCACAGACGCGGCCTCGCCTCACGCAAAATACTTAAATTATAAACCAAGCCTATTTTTCGTCGCATGCAAAAACCAGGGCGGATACCCTTGTAAGGGTATTCGCGCCGATAGCTTACCGGACCATATTATGCGACGTCCCCGTCGCTTCGCCAAATCAGAAAGCTATAAATTCACCCGCACTCCAAATGCTGACGAGAAGGGAACGAATCCGATCAGCCGACAGACTCAGGTTCGAGGCCTCCAACAATTTGTGCCCACACAACTATATGCCGCCAGGGTTTTCAACCTGGGTCTCCATTGTCCAGACATTAGGACGTTGGTGTATTACGCATCGATACTACAGCATAACTTCCAAAGGCCCCCTCAAACCGTCCTCTCCCCTTTGTCCTAGACAAACGTCGGCTTCTCGTTGAGTGTCCCGGCTAGACTCTTTCTCGTAAGCAGAGGCATGCCCAGGGACGCGGGCCTTAAATGAGACCTTGGAAGGCACTCTCGCCTCCCTCCTGAAAATCCTCACAACCAAGCAGATATACATATATACACTCAATCTCATCTCAACTCTTTCTGCAGTCTAGTACAAAAATGCTAGGTCTCCATCCTGGCCCACCATAGTCAGGTCGATCGAGCCAGATCTACGGCCTACCGCATTGTTGCTTTAACGGCAGTTCCTTTGCTGGTTGTGCAACGATAGGTATCCTCCTGATAAGCATTCAATCAGGACTCCTGAAAAATTCGACCAATATTCCCCGCCATCCCACTGGAGTAGTTCCCTGGGGCGTGCATAACCCCTTAAACTCTTACCCTGTTGGTAGACGTGGTTCCGCAACCAGGTTGTGCTGGCTTGTAGCCATCCAATAGGGGTTGCGTCGTAGAGGTGCTAACCTTCACCGTTTAGCTTGGTATTCCTCAATATGCCTTGGGGTTAGCACAAGTGTCTAGACGGTGCGTCGCAAAACAGACCACAGGCCCACTGCGGGACTATGCAGGGGTTTGTCTCACTTTTAAAGGTGTTAACCAGCTCCTTATGGGACAACATGGAAAACACGACCCCTTCTCACGATCACAAACAAATTCACCGCTAGGCTCACACAAGGTCGTGGCCTACTGACTTGATCAGGGACAGCAGACCACACATCCCACAACATCTTAATGCACTGACTTGGGACCTTCTCAGTTCCACCAATGGTCCAATCTGTAATTCTGGTTCCTCTCGTCAGGCTTTATCAACTCAAACTTTGCTTACCATGCCCTTAAATCTATTAACCACCTTTCACACGAAGGAGGTCTCTCCCAATAGGTCTCCCAGCCACCCCTCTCTCTCCAGGATGGGCTATCACGCGGCCCTTTTTAAAACACCTTCCCTTTGAAGATGAGTCTTCTAATAAACAACACTACCACCTTCCTTAATCTGAAGGGGTCTCAACCATAAAACAACTCAAACTGAGAGGCCTATTTATGGCCCTCTCCACGACTTATCCACGAAACAACTCAAACTGAAAAACCTGCTTATGGGCCCCCTTCGCAACTCAACCGTAAAACATCCGGCATGGTAAGTATTCGAGTCTCAGAGACTCGCAAAATCCCTTAGGATTCTCACACTTCGGTCACATGACAAACTGCACTACCTCTCCTTATACTCTGCCCTTTCGCCTGCCCGTAGGCAGATCGCACGAGTATACCGAAGAGTAGACAACATTCACATTCACACGACCCAATACACATGAGATGTATCCCACACATCTCTCACACAAATACATCATACATCAGGATAAAACCACACATGTGAGAGTGATAGTGATCGTCATATATAAAGAATAATCTCAGACAACGTTCCAACTCAGACACCCTCCGGGGTATAACATCCCAACCCAGGCGAACAAATATAGTCCTGAACTACTCGTAGACACTTAAAGTCGAATACTCTCGACTCAAATCGACACCAATATCACACAAAGGATGCCCCCCTTCTGGCTGGAGCCTTTAAACTAAAGCAGGTCCACATAGGGCGTAATCGTACCCCTCACCTGTCAAAAAAATTTGTATAACTCAAGACATACCTAAAGTTTGAATGACCCAAGGCCTATCATGCCTCGATGGGTTGTAAGTTCACAACAGCCTCGAGTCAAAGTGCTGCTTATACTCTTCCCTCAGGTCTCGTCGCAGCACCCTCGAGGCCTTAAAGCTACGAGAATTCAAACTTAAACCCTACCAAACCTCTAGGCATACCGTATTTACAACCGCATGGGTATGTATACCTTTATAATTCAGGGCAGCGTGACCAAGAGCAAGCTCAATCCCCAAGCACAACCATTTTACTTCGAACCTTTGGGCGATATCCTTAAAGTACATGCCTAAGGGAGCCAACTACCGTGATCAAGCTAAATCAGTGCTCCTTAACCCAGACCCCATCCTCACACGGTCTCTTAGCACAACATACTACTTACACTCATGGCCCACTCTCACATTTTGATCGCGATGTAGCCATCCTGCCCCCTTATGGTTCGGTTGGCGTCCATCGCGCCCTCCAGTGCCTCCTCTGCCTCTACCTCGTCCTCTATTGTTGCGCCCTCCATCCCCGGGGCCTCTTCCAGCTCCCCGCCTCTGGCTTTCTGCACCGGCCATGTCACCTTGTGGCACCCGCAATGTCGGTGGCTGCAACAGTCCTACAGGCAGAGTTGGCCGAATCTGGACTGTGGGAGGCCTAGGCGGTATCATACTTATTTGTGGGCCCAAACAAGTGCCTTGCATCCAGGGCAGATATGAATTATATATAGGCCTTGGTCCCACTTGACCATATGGTGTCCACGGCCCGTATAATGCCCGCTCAGCCGGCGGAGGCCCCGCCTATGCTGGCTTGCCTCCCAATTCTTGCGGGGTGGCCCCTCCCTGTCGCGGGTCCTGCCCCTTCCCGGTACCTTGGCTCCCCTGGGCCCGATTCCTCGCCTTCCGCTGAGCCTTAGTCAGCTTGGGAGGTTCAGGCTTCCCTTTTTTTCCCGTCATACCCTTTTCTTTACTTCCTTGAGGGGTACGGCCAATCTTTCCCCAACGATCACATACCACCCTTGCCCAGTGCTCTAGCCACCACTCACTCCTCTGCCCCTTCCGACTCGCAGCTGAGGATGTTTCCACGTTGATGAGACCTCTCTTCGGATCAAGCGCAATGCCAGGCAAGACCATACTAGATTCCCGCTCCTCCTTTATCTCAATGAATCCCTCGCCTTCGCCACTTTCCGGGGCATCGGCTCGCCCCTTCGAGGTTACCGTGTGGAGGAGTAACTTCTGATGATTTTCCCTTGCCTCTGCCTCACCCTGCCCAGCCGGCCCACTCGATGCTCCTTCAGAGGCCTTCCTCTTGCCATGCCTGGCTTCTTCCAATCGCGTCAACCTTTCTTCTAACATCCCCACTTGCCTCTGTATACCGCTCAACTCTTCTTGTGTTGACGCAACCCCAGTTGGTTGCTCAAGGCCTCCACCAAGCTGGCCTTCCGCTCCATCCTCTGGAAATCTCGACTTTAGAGAACTTTCCAGCTCGTCCCTTGTCTGCGACTTCAGCATAAGGGTATACATCTCCTCACTCAGCTCTTCGCAGACAAACTGTGGCAACATGCTCCTCATCGCCTTCTCGTTCCACCTCTTCATGAGACTGCAGTCATGATAGCCGCGTAGGAAGGCAGACAAATTTCTTCCTTGAAACAACAGAGCGCGAAGTTCTGGGGGCATCGAGTCGCTCACTGACTCGCACAACAACACTTTATTGAGGCGCGTACTCCTCCAGGATAGGATTTTGACGAAACCGCTCTCTTCAGCCATGATGCTGGTACCGGCTTGTCACACATGACAAGCAGTCCACCATCAGGTTGGGGCGCAAGACAGCTTAAAACAAACAGGGCTAGTAAAAATTGATTACTACCCGTCTCACACCAACCCTCTTCCCATTTATACAATATGGCCCTAACTTTAGCTAGAGGGTTCTATAGACAATATACCTCCCACACAAGCAGAGCCCTTGAAGCCAATCCTAGGCAGACAGTAACCGAGGCTACAAATGTTACTGACCCCCGTACTCGTATCCTAGACTGAGGCTCCCCCTCACGTCCCAACCGACCTACCCATGGCTTTAGACACCTGGTCTAAGGAAAAAGCCTATCCGGGCTAACTTGGAGCCTCTCAGGATTCGTTATATACACCTCACGCACCAGGATACATCTGTACATGCCTCACAACTCATTTGATACATCCAGTGGACTAACACATAGGGGCTCAGTTTACACAACTGATTGGCCTGCCGTCCTAGCTCCCATATCCATTTATATGTTCAAGTACATAAGAGACATACTCCAGTAAGATACAAGGGCGTCCTCTACCGGCCAGCTGCTGCACGAACCTCATCCCAGTCTACAGCCTCCCCATCGGGATCATGGGAGCTTGCATACGCATCAACCACCTTGGCCACGCTCCTGAGTCCTTGGCGACCGGGCAAAAAACTTTGATCTAGGTACAAGCCATATATCAATTTGCACGTGTATCGCATATACCCCCATTCGCGTGCCTTCACAGCAGTTTCTGCAGCGGCTTCCACTCTTGCCTGTCCCCCAAAACTTTCTTCTACTAAGATCTCCGACAGGGTAACTCGTAATGGGGTTGAGGGAAGTGCAAACTCTTTCGCGTGTTTGACCTCTACCTGGGTCACCACCTGCTCTTCCCTTTCCTGTACCCTGCCTCTTGCCCATTTTGCGGTGGCTGCCTCAGCTACTCTCAAGGGTTTCGCGAGTAGGCTTTCATGCCCAAGTGCCAACTCTATCCCATGCAAGACCCAGAATGATGGCGAGGCGTACAGCGTCACCCTCACAATCGCACAATCTTCCTCGTCATTAAAGCCGGACTCGATCCAAGTGAACATACCCACGCCCATCAATGCGCCCCACCAGGAAGAGATATACTCTCCTTCCTTGACAAGGATACCTCGAATCCATCTTCCTTTTTAACGGGCAAGGCCATATTAGGATTTTCCTTTGCATAAGGCATCCTGAGTTGCCTTCGCTCTGGTCTGGGTTCTGCCCATCACAGAAAACGTCCAGCGTACGCCCTCCGTTATCATACTGATAATCGCGTTCCAACATCCCTACCCCTCTTTGAACAACGATCCAGATGCACAAACTTTAACAGACCGTCATAAATCAATAAACGAACTTAAGACCTTCATATAAGTCCTTGCAGACTAAATAGTTCCAATACATACTTCAGATACATGGCCCATATAAGTATTTCTGACAAGGATAATCATCAAAGGAATAGTCATTCAACACATAGCCTCACACAAATAGACATTAGGCAAGCTTACTCAGGTCAGATCTGACGTCTACGGATGAGTTCAATATATAGCTCAAGAGAAGTGCCCTTAAACAAGAATAGTCTCAAGTCCCTAGCCCCACCCTATAGATCAAAGCGGATGGCCCGAACCTGGAAAGATTCAAGCGAAGGTCTAAACACCAATTACAATTCATTGCCCCATCAAAAGTAAGCAAAATAATCTAGGTGTTAGCTTCTTCACTGCTACTCCGCCTGCCTCTAGGATCAGATACCCTCCTTTGTAGGGACAGGCGTCATGCAAATTCACTACACCCCTTAGCCCTATCTATTGAGGCCTTAACACGGTGCTCACTGCATCTCTTCACTGCCTTATACGCCTAGTTCAAACATACCACGTGGGATAGACCTCAGACTTCCATAGCTATACAACCCGAGCAACTGCTTAGAACCCAGACTCAAGGATCCCAATCCATTTCTATAGCCTAACTCTCCTCGAAGTCCCTTAATGACGTCTAACATAGTAGGCTTCCTTTACTCATCCGGGCCTTGTCCTAAAGCCAAAGTACCCTATTGCACTCTTGACCACTCGGGTAACTTCCCTTGGCCATAATGGGTACCTTATGAGGCTAACTCCCTCAACCAACATGCCCGACATTGGCATTATCTCATTCCACCTCAACCATATCAATCAAGCAAAGCATCGTCCGAGCCAGTCAACTATCAGGGTCAAAAACAGTACTCAACTCCAACTACCATCATGCTGGTCAGAGTACGTAAGTACATAGCCAAAACTTATCCCTCTCACGCCATCCTCACTACACCGAGCAGAACCCACTCACACAATCAACCCTCACTCGCTTTCTATCCAACACCTTCAATCGATTAACCATAAAGCCCAAAAGAATTTCCCATTGTGCCTATATCTCACATTCCCATACCCGGATGTCGTTCCACCAGGGACAACGGCAGGCAACTGTTATCCCCGGCAACGGCGCCACCTGTCGAGCGCATCGGTCCGGCACCGCACGGGGCAACGCGGGACCCTCCCGGCCGCGTCACGCAGGAGTTGGTTTAAATCCTTCGTCACAAATATACGTGGAGCTTCCGCAAGCCGCTCTGCCCGAGTGCGCCAGCCATACCTCCCGCGAGCCCCTACGACAGGATAGGGCCTACGCGAGGCACGACTTACCTCCACCTTACGGGAGTTGTCACCTCCCTTCGGTGGGCGTATCCCCGCNCCTACGCGAGGCACGACTTACCTCCACCTTACGGGAGTTGTCACCTCCCTTCGGTGGGCGTATCCCCGCCGAGCTACCAGTCCACAGTACGAAAGTTGATCAGTTGCAATCGCAGAGGTGGACCAACCGAGGGCATTTCTCGTTCGCTGTAGCATAGGGGGTACGCGCGGTAATACGCCTCTATCGGACCCGCACGCGAACCGACATCTTGGGGGGCTGAGGTCCCAAGCGCGACTCGTCGTTAGTCGACTAGGACGCATCCCACTCACCACGCATACACCAGTCTACAAACGCAAAAATAAAACACACACACACACACACACATCGAACAACGCGACAACACTCCTAGTCCCTTCAGTAGCCATCCCATAACTTTCCGATGCGGAGATCGAATAGGCATCGCGCGCGAGACTTAGTATAAAACCGCGCGGACGCAGGGCTAGCTCATATCAACTCGCAATGCTCGCAATGCAAGCGTACGCAGGCGGTCGCAGTGATGGCGTACTATGTAGTACCCATGCTCAGGCGGTCCTCGTTAATCTCGAGGGTCGCATTCGATACTCAAGTGTCGGCTGACACGCGCCTTGAGGGCTAATCTCTCGACGCTGGACAACCGCCATGCGCGGTTGAAGACCACACACCCTCTTCTGCACCCTGTGCAGAGTGGGTGGTACACAGGTCCATACTTGTGGTGGCAATCGTTTTTTACTGCCCTGGGGATGAGCCCCACTTCAGGACTGGATAGGAGTCAAGGGGTTTGACTTTGACGGCTGCCACGGACTACAACGTCCAACTAAGAACTCTCAAGAAGTAGACAGACAAGAGGAGGGGTCTTCCTTATTCTCTCAATCTCAACCCCTAATTACGTCTTTAGTAAGCGGCCGTTCAGGCTACACGAACATCCAACATAGGTACACTCATATATATATATATATATATATATTCTGTTTGTGACGATATATATATGAGTCGGTGAAGCTCCGACGAAACAGTTTGTCACAGCCCCTCGTTTGTTGTCTTGTTCTCCCTCTCTGCCTACGGTTTACCGGGCAGTTCTATTTGACGATATATATATATATATATATATATGTAAAGGGTTATTAGTACAGGACGATCACTTCTCACAGTCATAGTGAGACTCCTCTCAACCATATATATATGTAATCGCAGGCAGTCACATCTTGAGTTCGGACCACAAACATACTTGCAATCACATCAAAAGTCCAACAAAAGTCCACGCACTACACGGGGTCAACTTCAACCATTCTCTATGCTCATACCCTTGCTTTAGCCATACAAATCTCACTCTTGTACAACTCCCCGAAATAAATACTCAGTACTTTTATTAAATGGCCATTCAATAAAGTCCGGGTGAAAACACAATGAAACAATTCAAACCACAGGGCTAAAGCCTTTAGGTTGAGTGGCAAGAGTGGATTGGAATTGAATCGTAAACCGACGAATCGGCAACCGACCTGTTATCAGTGATAACAGAAGATGATCCTCGTAGGATCAAGCTGAATCTAGCCCAAATCCTGAATCAAACGGTCAAGAAGACCTGTAACACATGACAGGCCAATCCCCAAGCTAGATCTATAAGTCAATGGAGAAAAATCCCCATATCACGATCTCACTCAAGAATCATTCTACCTAATCTAAGCCTAAGTCTACCCCTAAACATGTGCCCAAAGCAAAGGTAGACTAATGGCAGAATCTCCCCTATTCAGGGTGGATCGCCAGAACCGCCACCTGTCAAAATATAATCTATTTCCTTTAAACTAAGAAAAATTTGGCAGCGCTTCCCGTAGGAAAAATGCCTTTCCAGAATTTATATCAGCCTGAATATGAAGCCAGAAATAGTCTTAAATTTTTCAAAGTTCAATTTTGTCCAACTCCCTAAATTAGCAAACATTTGGGCAACACTCCCTTTCGAACATGAGACTTTCCATATTTTTACTAAGTCATATATGAACTTTAGACAAGTTGAACTTTGAAAAATCAAAAGTTGACTAACTCCTTGGATTTG